CACACACACACACACACACACACAGAGTTATAATGAAAGGCTTCAGATGTAGTTTAATGGTAAGTACAGCACTTGACTAATAGCTCAGATGGAAGCCCTGAGTTTGATGCAGTTTGTGTACCACAAAAACAAGGAACAAAAATAGTCATAATGGTAACATTTTTGTTACATAGATCTCTCTGTAATAAGAAAAGTATTTCAGTAAGACAAAAGTAAACTTTAAAGGTGCATATCTAGAATTTCTCGTTTTGTTGTTGTTTGAGACAAGGTCTTGCTATATACTCCAGGGTGGACTTGAACTCACTATGCAGAGCTGGTTGGCCTCAAACTTGCAGTGATCCTCCTGCCTCAGCTGCCTGAGTGCTGGGATTACAGCTGCTGGGAATGCAGGACCACACCTGGCTTAGAATTTCTTAATGACAAGATTGCAATAAAAGTCAAAATTAATGTTGAATTTTAGAGGAGACGGGTTGCAAATCATCAACAGGCAAGTGAAGTCCTTAGAAATGTTCTGCTTTTATTACCAGGGTCATTATACAGATCTACTTTTACAATTCATAAATTTGTGCATTAACTTTTTTATGTTATGTGTTACATAGTACAATAAAGATGATTAAATCAAAATTTTATTTCATTTCACCTAGTATGATGATCCACAGCTGAAATCCCAGCTACTGAGAAAGATATTGATATTGATCTTGATATTGATGTTGATCTTCAGAAAAAGAGCTATAAATACAAAAATCAAAGAAATTGGGTAAAATCACTGAACTACAATTTAACTGGAAAAAGCGAGGGCCGGGCATGTGGGCCACTATGAGGCAGGAGGTTGCTGTAATCCCAGCACTCTGAGAGGCTGAGGCAGGACTATGGCTACAAGTGTGAGACCAGCCTGGGTTACACAGTGACTTAGTGAGACCCTGTCTCAAAATAAAAAAATAAAAATGGGCTGGGGAATGTACCTCAGTGCAAAGATCCTGGGTTCGATAACTAGTACCACAAGGAAATAAATAAATAATAAGACGGTCATATAATTTTATATTAACATATGAAAGTTTCAGGCATTCCTCTCACTAATATTCAGTATGGTCAGTGTGAAGTGATATTATGGTTTTTAGTCACCTTAATGTACATACAGGCATGTATGCACATATGTGTGTAGCTGCCACCCTAATCAAATACAGAATGTTTCTCTTTTTTTTGGTCTTTTTGATACAGGGTCTCGCTATGCAATTCAAGCTGGCCTTGAGCTCACTTTGTAGCCCAGGCTGGTGAGCTCAAAATGATCCTCCTGCCTCAGCCTCCCAAGTGCTGGGATTACAGGCATGAGCCACCACGCCCAGCCCAGAATGTTTCTTATTATCTCAAAATCTTCCCAACCAGTTCCCCAGACCCAGAGAACCACCATTTGCTCTCTGTCACTGTAGATTAGTTTTTCCCATCCTCAAGTTTCAGAGAAATGTCCTCATGCAGTGTGATCTGTGGCCACACAAACACGCACCACTGAGGCCACTCT